AAGCTAGGGCTATCAAATAAACCTCTTTGCTTACTAAGGTGGATGGTATTTATTTTGTTTTTTCAACTAACTCATAACTGCCCCCAGCTTTGTTATTCCATTTACCATATTAAGATGCAAATCACGTATTTACACTGTATCAAGTTATATGGGAGGATTTAATATTGCTGTTCACAATAAACTGCTATGATTAAACTATGATTCAACTCCCAAGCTTCAGGATTAGACTCCCATGAATAATAGGGTGGTAAAGCAATGCTAGCATGTTTATAAAGAAAGTGTTAGTTCAATTGTTACTCCCTGTCCTGTAGGAATATGGAATAACAATCTAAGTATTGAATATGTACATAGGATGAGACTTACTGTGCTATAACTCCTTCAAAGAGTAATGAAATGGACAAAAGGACATTAAGACATTAGTGTAGGATGTAGGAGTTTAAATCCCTGATCCATCATAAACTTTGTGTGTGACCATGGGCAAGTCATGGAGCCTTTCTGTGTCTCAGGCTATGTCTATACTGCCGCCTCTTGCAAAAAAACATACAAATGAGACAAAGCGTGGAATATCACCACACCTCATTTGCATAATTAATGAGGCACTGTTTTTGTGCGAGAGGATTTTGCGCAAAAACGGAGCCTCATTAATAATGCAAATGAGGCATGGCAATATTCCATGCTTTGCCTCATTTGCATTTTTTTGCACAAGAGGGGCAGTATAGATATAGCCTCAGGGTATGTCTACACAAGCCACGGGCGTGCTATTTCACCATCCTGGTAAGTCTTGTTGCACGAAGGATAAGGGACGGCTTGAAATAGAGTGTTATTTTGAAATCTGGCGCTTTATAGATATGCCATATTTCAAAATAAGCTATTTTGAAATAGATTTGAGATAAGATGTGCAATTTGCATATCTTATTTTGAGTTTAGGGTGCTGTGTACATGCACCCTCAGACTCCTGCCCATTACAATAGGGATAACAACACTGAATATATGGAGATATACCTATCTCATAGAACTGGAAGGGATCTTGAGAGGTCATCCAGTCCAAACCCCTGCCCTTACAGCAGGACCAAGTACCATCCCTGACAGATTTGCCCCAGACCTGTAAATGGCCCCCTCAAGGACTGAACTCACAATGCTAGGTTTAACAGGCCAACGCTCAAACCACTGAGCTAAACCTCCCCCCACTGCCTGCCTCATGGGGTACTGTGAGAATAAGTATAGTAAAGAGTGTGATACTCTCAGATCCTGTGATAGTGGGTTCCACTTAAGTACTTTAAATAGGCGCCCTTTAACTCCAAAACCATACCTGATGTCACCAGCAGACTGTTCTGTAATTCCACATTTTCTTATTTTAATTTTATTTCATTTACAAACTTAATGTTTAAAAACAGTGTCAACAAGCAGCTTTTCCTCTCTGTATTCTAGGCATCTATACCTCCCAAATTCAGCTGAAATGGCTCCCCTCGAAATGAACACCTTGTCAGGGTATGTGACATGCCATCCACAAAAACGAGACCTTTTTCTCCCCCGAGTGAACCTCATGATTCATACACACATTCACAGATGAGAGCACACTACAGTGAACCATTTGTGATGCTTTTTACATGGGAAAATTTGTATTTTTTTTAATACAAAATTCTGATACATGAAATGCCCAGGAAAGAATGGCAACTCTGTTGTCAGATTTCCAACTTTGGTGATTTTATCATGAGTCTTCAGATATTTTATGATTTTCTAAAAGCCCTGACTCCAAGAACTGAGTGATTATGTGAAAATCTATTTTTACTTTCTAAAAAAGGAGAACATTCTAATCTTTATAACTTCAAGGTAAGGCTTGATGATGTGGACACCAATTTTTCAAACCCAATAGGCAAATAGAAAGATCCCATATTTGCTCTTTTTAAAATCATATGACTTAACTAAATGGGATTGGGAATACTGGACTGTGGTTCCGTAACCTCAAAATAAGCCCACAAGCTAAAACTTGTTGGCCATTCCCTCAAAATTCATACACCAGATATTGCAAGCATCTGGAACAAAATGGAGAGGGGAAAAATTAAAGATATATTTCTGCTTTAAAAGTGTTTATCTTAAACTAAATTCAATTAATTAAAGAATATCTTAAAGGAACTAGAGGCTTTAGGATCCAACACCTCTATTCTTGCAGAAAATAGCACTTTCACTTTACTGAAGACACTGCACCAGCTACATTTGAAATTATAGCCTCTCGCAGAATGAAAGTTGTTACTAGAGACAGGCTGTATGTTGCTGGTGGGAGGGAGGTTCCAAATTCTGGATTAACATTTACATTTCAGGGTTTAGGCCCTTCTTTCATTCTACCACCAGTGAATACACAGCAGCATTATTTCGGAATAACTGACATTATTCAAAATAATAAAATGTGCATCAACACAGCAAGCCATTATTTCAAAATAATGTTGAGATGAAGGACTTCTTACTCCGGCTCCTCATTCCATGATGAGCAAGGGAAGCCGAAGGAAGAGTGTTCTTCCTTCGACTTCCTACTGTGTAGACAGCACCAAAAGCTGAATTAAGCTATTTCAACTTCAGCTACGCAATTGACATAGCTGAAGTTGCGTATCTTAATTCAACTTTTGCCCTGCTGTGTAGACATATCTTTAGGCTGTGTAAGTAATTCTTGCAGCTCCTTTGATCTAATTCAGTGTTTCCCAATTGGTGCTCCGCAGAACCCTGGGGTTCCGCAAAGCAAAAGTAGGGGTTCCATGAATAGCCGGCACTCCCCCGCCTCCTCTGAAAGAGAGAGCACCGGCTAGCTTGTTTCTAGTTCCTCCCTAGGGAGGCAGGGGCAGAAAGAACAGTTGCTTCTGGCCGGCACACTAGGGGGGTGCCAGAAAGGGGTGTCTCCATGTGACCCACAGCGGGAAGGGAAGCACTTCTGCTCCCCAAAGGAGCCGGCTCACGCTGCCTAAACAGCTGGGGCTATGGCACGCGGCAACCTAGTTCCGCCGCCATTCTGCACAGGGGTGGGGGGCAGGAGGGCAGGAGACCCGGGTCTGTGCAGTTCCGACTGTGCAGGCAGCGCGCTTTGCCCTGGGACTCACTGCGTCCTCCCCCCCACAGGATGGCATCGCGGAAGTAAGTTGCTGGCACGCAAGAGCCCCTGCTGCTCAGGCAGCGTGCATGCCAGTTATTTGGGATGGGGAAGTGCAGTCGCACACTTCCTGGAACCCAGAGGTGCTGCAGGATTGCCAGATATTGGTCCCAGTTGCCCCTGTCCCCTGCCCAGACCCCCCCCCCAAGTACCCTGTCCCCTGCCTCCACCAGCACTGTTCCCAGCACCCAGCAGCACCCTGTCCCCGGCCCCAGAACCCTGTCCCCAGTCCCAGCACCCTGCCACTCACCCCAGGACCCTGTCCGTGGCCCCAGCACCCTGCCACTCCCCCCAGCACCCCTCCCCCCCCCAAGTCCCCTGTCCCCTGCCTCCACCAGCACTGTTCCTAGCACCCAGCAGCACCCTGTCCCCGGCCCCAGAACCCTGTCCCCAGTCCCAGCACCCTGCCACTCACCCCAGGACCCTGTCCGTGGCCCCAGCACCCTGCCACTCACCCCAGCACCCAGCACCACCCTGTTCCTTGTCCCGGCCCCCTGCCACCAACCGCAGCACCCAGCACCACCCTGTTCCTTGTCCCAGCACTCTGCCACCCACCCCAGTGCCCAGCAGGACGATGTCCCTGACCCCAACATCCTGTCCCAGCACCCCACCACCTGTGCCAGCATCCTGCCACACAGCAGCACCCTCGCCCCGGCCCCAGCACCCACTAGCATCCTGTCCCCTGCCCACACCAGCACAGTTGGGACCACATTAGTTAGGATTGGGGAGGAGGGGTTTGCATCTCACTTGTGTTGTGCCAACTGACTTTTCTGTGGGTCAGTGACCCTTGGCTCAAAACAGGTTCCTTGCCCCTCTCAAAAATAAAGACAATGCTAAAACCTTTTGAGTTTGACATAATATTTTATTTAAAAATGAAGCATGGCCAACATGCCTCCAATTGGGGCCAAATCCCCATTTCACTGCAGCATCATAACACTCCTGCACCACCTGACCCCAAATCTGAGCCGATCATACACTGGAACACTCTGTCCTGAGCCTCTTACATCCCCTAACTCCTGCATCCCCACATCCTCAGTCTTCTGCCACAACACTCCTGCACCATCCTCACATGGCAAATCTGTGTCCTGAGCCCATCATACTCCCAGCCTCCCTGCCCTGAGCCCCTCACATATCCAATCCAAACTCCTGCACCCTCACATCCACAAGCCTGTGACTTGCTCAGCACCCCAACCTTACACCTGAGCCCAACACTCCCCAGCCTGAAGCCCCCTCCCCGAGCCAGCACCCCCTTCTCTTGCATCCAAATTCCCTCCCAGAGCTTACACTTCTCTCCCCTTCCCAGACCCAAAACCCTCATTCCCACTCCAGAGCCCGCGCCTCCTGTCTCAGTCCAGTGAGAGTGTATAAAGGCTTGGGAAAGCAAGTGATGGAGAGGAACAGAGAGGATGGGGCCTCAAAAGGGGTGGGGTCTTGGGGAAGGATTGTAATTTTCATGCATTGGTGGGTTCCCCTCTTTTTTTTTTTTGCTTGACAAACCTAGGGGTTCCTTGAAATTCTGAAAAGCTGAAAAGGGTTCCATGGCCAAATAAAATTGGGAAACACTGATCTAATTCATTGAGAACCAGTGTGTTTTGACTGAACAAAATAACTGAAGCAGAAGCTTTGGAGAGGAGGTAGTTTTTTATAAAATAGAAATTAAATATTTCTATGAAATTCATTCTATTTATTATAAGAAAGTCAGTGGAAATCACTTCTGCTGTTAAAATGCTTTGAGAGCCTCCTATTTGCATTACAAAAGCAGTCTCCTATTTTTTTGAGTTGTTTTACTGCTGTGTAAAGATACCTTTTGTTTCTCAGTTAACTAAGACGCTGAGCAGTTGACTAATCCATTATCTCTACTCACCATCCTCATTGCTTGGGGCATCTCCCATTCCATGCAGGGTGTCTGATCTGGATTCTGGCTCTGTATCTCCCTTAGGGATTGGTAAATCAGCCAGTGCAAATCCAGATTTACCAGATACAGGGGCAGCAGCTTTCAGTTCCCAGCTTCCAGACACTGCATCCATCAAAGGATAGCTAATACACTCAAATCCACTGTGAAAGAAAAGAGTTGACATTTTATTTTGTTGGCACTGATAGTTTTAAGGTGTTAATGAAATAATCAAGATATAATATGGAACTTCCCATCAGGGTCATAAAATATCCACTGTATGAAAGTTACAGTTGTGTATATATGTTGTCATGTATGGAACATAACATACAGTACAGATAAATTGGCTTATTTCCCATAATGTTAGTCTATCTGATTTTGTCAACAAACAGTGTAGTCCTAAACCTTTGTACACCAAATTTATTTGGATTACTTATCTCATGTCTGTCAGGTCCAGGTGAACTGGTGCACAAAGTCACAATGATGACCTGTCCTGATAATTATCATAAAATGATAATAACTGAGCAACTTGAAAGAGAATTTTTACTGTGGATTCCATTTCATGTGGTAGAGTGCTGCAGAGAGTAAAGATTTTTAAGTGGTTGGCTAGATAAAAGTTATTGAGTAATATTTTCGCTGATGGTCAGCAATTATCCTTGAAAGAAAAAAGAAATATATTGAGCAATATGTTTCCAAAGGAGTTAAGGATTCAACCAACTTTAAATTTCAATGGGAGCTGGGTGCCAAATTCATTAGGCTCTGAAAATCCTAGGCACGAATCCTGATTTAGGATCCTAAATATGAAGGCTGATTTTCAAAAATACTGAACACTTAGCTGCTCCCATTAACTGCAATGGGAGCTGCTGGGTGACCATCACATTGAAAAAAAGCATACAACTTTTTTTCTAAATTGAAATATACACTTTCAACTTTAAGGCTCTTGTTTTTAAAAATCTTAGCTGTTATATTTTCATAGTTAAGGAATCCCTTGATTGAGCAGCAATAATTTACTTTTTTTTTTAAATCTTCTCAAAGGACTCCATGCCATGTTATGAAGGAAAATACTTAAACAACCATGAGCAACATTTTCAAGAACATAGCAATGTAAGGGGATTTATTTTTTTAAAGAAAGTACAGCACATACATGTTTATTGTAAACAATTAACTTACAGTGATTTACCAGTCTTTGCCAAAGACAACAGTCAAAGACTATTTTAAAAAATGACTATGGAAAACAAACTACCCAGTAATCAGAACATAGGCTCATTTTAAATCAAAATTATCATAAAGGATACAATTTTCATCACTGCCTAAAGTGATTTAGGAGCACAAGTCCTATTTTCAAAAGTGACTTACAAATAGAATTAAGGGTTTGTCTACATGGAACAATTTTACCAGTTATAACAGTAGAATTACACTAGTTAAGATAACATGGGCATAACTTTCCCATGTTTTAGCCTTTGAAGTGCCTAATCTATTTTTGAAAATGGGACTTAGGCTATCAAGTCACGTACTCAATATATTTTTGTACCTCACTGGTAATATCTGTAGAATATAATGACTGAAAAACAAAATGGCTTCTTTCAAAATACTATACCAAGGAGTCCTGAAAAGTGATTCAGATATAAAAGGGGAAAAAAAAGACTACAGAAGATCTACCATATGACTCTCACATTCAATGTCAATGAAGACTGCTGTAACTTAAGAGGAAATACAATCAGAGTTTATGAAAAGAATGTTAGCCTCTTTACCCAGTGTGTGAACCAAGGGCCACCGAAGACAATAGGTTTCCTTTTACTGATTTCAATGAAGTTCCTAGTATCTTCTGGAAGTCATGGACTTGGGAGGAAAGCAGAAACCAGTAGAAAGTAACTGGTGAGGGCACAAGAAAAATCCAAGAATCTGGCCTGAACTAGATGATAGGTCAAACACTACAAGGGAAAGTCAGGGAAAGTAAAAACACTTCATGAAATAGATTGTTCCACACATTACGTACAAAGGGGTTTTCACTGGCTTCCTCTCAGCTTCTTCAATTAACTTAAATAAACTGGTAGAAGAATTTGCTGGAATTTGCTTGGTTTTGACTCCACACCAGATCTCCAAAAGTCGACCATTCTCATCTTCCCATCAAAAGAGCAACCGGCAAAAAAAACAATTAAAAAGTCATAATTGTGTAGTAAAAAAATGAAATATTTTTTGCAAATGAAAAATATCATCTTAGGTAAAATAAACCACCTAGTAAAAACACTCATCATATTTGTAGCACAGAATATGATGAGTGATAGAATGATCCAGGGTTATTTTCTTGATTCTCTGTCATTGTAGCTAATTCAGTTATTATCTAAAATCTCTTTGATTAATACCCCTTTAAAACTTCTTACTCATTCACTTTAATTTTAATCCTTCATCTTATATTGTTTATTTAGCAATGCACTCAAATGGTATGTCTTTCCATCTCTCAGTTTAGTTTATCCTTTCAGTACTGTGGTTTCATTTTGTGATGTGCTGATAACAACTGTAAAAAAAGTTTTCTTGTGACAGAAAAAAATATATTGCCTGGTAAAAATTAGGACCCAATTCTCTGCTGGCTTAATTCCACAGAATTTGAAGCCAAATTCAAGTCCAGGACAAGATAGGAAAAATTATACTTTCTGTTGTTCAACATCCAAATAAAGCAGATAGAGAAAATTTAGGATCAGAGGAACCCCAGCAGTCGTTGAATCCCTTGCAAAATTTCAAAGAAAAATTAGCAAACATGCATAACTCTGCAGGGGCCTTTGGTACTTAAAGCTTCCAATCCTTGCTTCCCAAAAGTCTTCTTTTACTATGCCACGCGCACAACAGAGCTAACACTATCATTTCTACTTTGAGTTGGGAGATCACAATTTGAAAGCCAGCTTGTCTTCTCAGCAGGCTGGAACAGAGAGTTTGTATTCACTATTTCTAGTAAAGGCAAATATGGGGAATAAATATTTCAGTTTCCTTGAACATTTTCTACTCAAATTGTGAGGAAAAGAACAAAGACATACTTTAACCTTTCCAGAGGATTCATTTTAAATAACCTTCTCGGATTTGTACTTTGAAAAGATATAACGAAGCTGTCATATTTTCTGAAATATGTATCTAGGTACATTCATTTAACTCCACAATGCTGTAGATAGCCTTGACTTCAACATAAATGATTTTAAACAGAGGTTACAAAGACCAAGTGAGTTTTAACTGTCAACAGGAAGCTTTTCTTTTCTGAATACAGAATTTAAATGAATGTACTGATTGTGAAAGGGCATAGATTGACAGCACTGGAAAATGACGTCTTCTCTCTCTCCAAATAACAAGTACAGTACAAACTTTCTCTCTTCTAGTCTATCCTAACACTGACCTAGAGAAAAAGCCTTCTACGGTTGAAAGGAGAGTTTTGTCTCTATTCAATCCCTTACCTTTCTGCTCTTTCGAAAGAGCGCGTCTAGACTGCACGCGGAACTTTCGAAAAAGCAAGCCGCTTTTTTGAAAGAAAGCACCCAGTGAGTCTGGATGCTCTCTTTCGAAGAAGCCCTATTTACATTCAAGAACGCCTTCTTTCGAAAGAGCACTTTCGAAAGAAGGCGTTCTTCCTCGTGAAATGAGGTTTACCACCGTCGAAAGAAAAGCCGCATTCTTTCGATTTAATTTCGAAAGAACGCGGCTGCAGTCTAGACGCAGGTGAAGTTTTTTCGAAAAAAGGCTACTTTTTTCGAAAAAAACCCTGAGTCTGGACACAGCCAAAGAGACCAGTTACTGTTCACTAAACATTAGACTGAGACCATCAACTCATGTACACATGCCACCAACAAGCTTTCAGGTGCTTATAATTTTTTATTATTAATGACCTGGACTTCACTGTGAAAAATTGCATTCCATTATTAATCTCCATAACATGGCAGTCCCACATTGTAAGTGCTTCTAACTATAAAGACTTTCCACTTTGAGATTTTGAAATTAAGACTAGCAAATTATGTGCATATATAATATTAAGCATGGAATTCAGAAAAAAAATAAAATTCATAAATGTTTAGGGATATTCCTAGATTTTTTGCTCAATTTATGAAGAAGTTACTCACCTTGTGCAGTAACTATGGTTCTTCGAGGTGTGTGTCCCCGTGGGTGCTCCACTGTGGGTGTCGGGCTCGTCCCAGCACAGCAGTTCGGAGATGTTTCAGCTGTTGTTTGCTGGACCGCGCATGTGCGGCGACCATCTTGCTGCTTTTTGCGCCGTTTTGGTTCATGTGGTCCAGCTCCTGCCAGTTCCTCTTGATCGTCGAGATCTGCAAGACAAAATAACAGACTCCAAAAAGGGGAGGAGGGCGGGTCGTGGAGCACCCATGGGGACACACACCTCGAAGAACCATCATTACTGCACAAGGTGAGTAACAACTTCTTCTTCGGGTAGTGTCCCCGTGAGTGCTCCACTGTGGGTAATTCCACAGCAATAGCCGACATAAGGCGGAGGGGTGGAGTCAATTTGTTGCCGCTGAAGAGAGGACCTCATTGGCTACTGCTGTGTCGGAGATGATGATCTTAGATAGTGCATAGTGGTTTGTGAACGTAAGCTCAGAAGACAACGTTGCCGCTCAGCAAATGTCTTTGATGGGAACCCCTTTAAGGAAGGCTGTTGAAGATGCTACTGCCCTGGGAGAGTGGGCTCTGACCATATGACGTAGTGTGACATTTCTTATTACATATCATTTAGTAATACATGAGACTATTATTTTCGATATTCGCTGAGATGATAATGGACAACCTTTAGAGCGGTCAAGTGAGATTAATAGATGTTGAGTTTTTCGTATATTGCGGGTCCTTTTAATATAGAATGCCAGAGCTCCCTGGATGTCTAGCAAATGAAGTACATGGTGTTTTGAGGAATGCGGTTTTGGGTAGAATACGGGTAAAAAGATAGGTTCATTTATGTGAAAGCTGGAGTTGACCTTGGGCAAAAACAATGGCTGTGGTCGTAGAATGACCACCTGTGGTGTGAAAATGGTGTAGGGAGGTGATGCCGACAAGGCTGCCAGTTCTCCTACCCTGCATGCAGATGTAATTGCTAACAGGAACACAACCTTCATGGTAAGAGAATTGAAGTCGGATGTAGACAAGGACTCTTAACGGTGGCCGCATAAGAGTATCTAGGACCAACTCCAGGTTCCAAGGATCTGGAGGTTGCTTGTGTTCAGGAAACAGGTTGGTCAGTCCTTTGAGGAATCTTCTTGTAGTGGGATGCGAGAAGATGGTATAGCCCTCAATTGGTCAGCAGAAAGCTGTGATAGCCGCTAAGTGCACCCTAAGAGACGATAGAGAAAGTCCACGGTGTTTGAGGTGTAAAACGTATTCTAGAATGGAACATAAGGGCTTTCCATGAGGATCTGAGCCTTTGTGTGCGCACCATTCAGTGAATCTTTTTGACTTATGCAGGTAAGTGTTTTGGGTCGAAGCTTTCCTACTATGTATAGAAGCAGATGGTCAACAGCTGCCAAACTACCTAGTCTTTCTAATTGGCATGTGTCAGGAGCCAAGCGGTAAGGGAGAGGCAATCCAACTGCAGATGAAGTAGCCTCCCATGATCTTGAGTCAGAAGAAGCAGGCCGACTGGGAAGGTGATACGGGGGATGAGGCAACATATGGAGTAGGTAAGGGAACCAAGTTTGGAGTGGCCAGAATGGTGCAACTAGGATTAGTGTTGCTCTGTCCGCTGCTGCTTTCTCTAGGACCTTGTGTATCAGGGGATAGGTGGGAATGCATACAGAAGCTGCCAACCCCAGTTGTATAGAAAGGCATCTCCCTTCGATGCGAAGCCTATGCCCGTTCTGGAGCAGTAGTGATCGCACTTTGCGTTGTACTGCGTGGTGAAAAGGTCCGTAGTTGGGTGACCCCAGTGACAGAATATGCTCTGTAAGACTTCAGGGTGTAGCTCCCATTCGTGTTGTTGCGCAAAGTGTCTGCTGAGCATATCTACTGTCGTGTTGTCGTCTCCCGGAAGATATGCTGCGGTGATTATGATATTGTGTCGGTTGCACCAATTCCACAAATACACGGCTTCCCTGCACAGTGTACAGGAGCGGGTTCCCCCCGTTTGTTTATGTAATAGACTGTTATCATATTGTCTGTGAGAATTTGCACCATCTGGTTGTGTATCCAGGGAGGGAAGTGGTTGCAAGAATTGCACACCGCTCGCAACTCAAGCAGATTAATATGGCAGAGCGATTCCTGGGCCAACCAACAGCCTTGAGCTTGTTTGCCCTGCATATGAGCCCCCAAATCAAGCAGGGAAGCGTCTGTTGTCACCTGGACAGTAGGTTGAGGAATGCAGAAGGGGATGCCCGCTGCAGTTGTGGGGGACGGTCCACCACTTCAGAGATTGCCTGACTGCTTGGTACAGTGACCATTCTGTGCACGTCATGCATGTGAGATGTGTATACTGTCAATATCCAGTGCTGAAGGCATCTGAAATGAAGGCAGGCGTGGGAAACGATGTATGTTGTCACTGCCATGTGCCCCATCAGTTGCAGACAGGTGAGCACTGGAACTGTGAGACTGGTAGTGAGAACCTGAATGAGATCTTGAATCATATGAAGTCTGGAAATGGATAGGTAAGCGCGTGCTGTAACGGAATCAAGACAAGCGCCTATAAAGTCTATAGTCTGTTGAGGTACAAGGGACGACTTTTGGATATTGATTATAAGGCCTAAGGTATCGAAGAGCCATCTTGTTGTGGTGACCGCATTCGAGGCCCTGAGGAGGCAATCGTCCAGGTAAGGGAAGATAATGATCCCTAGGCAATGTAGAAAAGCTGCTACTATCGCCAGTGTCTTGGAAAACACCCTTGGGGCTGATGAAAGGCCGAATGGCAGCACCTTGTACTGGTAGTGCTCGGAGCCTACCAGGAAGCACAGGAAGCGCCTGTGGGCAGGATGCACTATGACATGGAAATAAGCATCTTGTAAACTGAGGGATGCAAACCAGTCTTCTTGCTCAAGCACCAGTATGATGGTTGTGAGGGTCACCATCTTGAATCGCTGCTTCCACACATAATAATTGAGACGACGGAGGTCTAGTATGGGCCTCCAACCGCCGGACTTTTTCTGTGTCAGAACATAGCAGGAGTAATACCCTCTCCTCTGAAAGGATTGCGGCACCCTCTCTATTGCTGCGATATTGAGGAGGTGATCTATATCTTGCTTGAGGAGGAGCTCATGAGATGGGTCCCTGAAAAGGGACGGGAGGGGAGGGGTGGTTGGAGGATGGGATGTGAAGGGGATTACGTAGCCCGTTGTTATGAGCTGCATGACCCATCTGTTGTTGTTATTGCAGCCCAATGATGTTGAAAGGGACGCAAGCGGGGGTGGAGAACTGCAGTGCTGGCAGTCGAGGCAGACAGTATTGGAATGGTTTGCAATCCCTCAATCAACACGTCAAACTTGCTGTTTGAATTGTGGCTGAGTTGTAGGTCTAGTGGCCTGGGGGCATCGTTTTTAAGGATGCTGCTTAGGGCGTTGTTGGTCATATTGCCGTGGCTGTGCGTAAGGGAACGGTCTCTGTCTTTGATAGGATGTATACTTTTTGCATTAGTATGGCAGCGTATACATTTCTAAGATACTTAGGGTGGTACGCGAATCCTTGCCAGAATGAAGCAACTGGTCTGTTTTGTCTGCAAAGAGACCTTGTGTGTCGAATGGTAGGTCTTCAACCTTCGACTGAAGTTCCCTCAGAACAGCCACTTTGTGGAGCCACGAGGCCCTGCGCATTACTACAGATGTCACTGTCGTTCTTGCTGCCGCATCTACTGTGTCAAGGGCAATGTTGAGCGCTGAACGAGAAGTGGTATAGCCTTCTTGAATAATAGCCTTGAGAAGCTGTCTTTTTGTGTCAGGCAGGTGTTCGAGCAGTTGGACTAACTTCGTGTAATTGTCGAAGTTATGATTGGCTAACAGCGCTGAGTAGTTGGCCATTTGGAGTATGGACGTGACTGAGGAGTACACATTCCTTCCAAAAAGGTCTAGGCCAGTGGTTCCGAAACTTTTCGGCATCATGCCCCCTTTTGATTTTTGAGAAACCCTCACGCCCCCTCCTCCAAGAAAAATAGCAGCAAAACTTGGGGTGGGATTGATGGGGGGGTGTGAGGCTGGGTCGCCTTGTGTCCCCCTGGAATTTCTTCATCGCCCCCCCCGTTTGGGAACCCATGGTCTAGGCACTTATCATCTTTATCCCCAGCAGTCGCTTTGTACTGGAGGGTTTTAGCCCGTTGTTGCACCGTGTGGACGACCAGCAAATTAGGTTGGGGATGGTTAAAGAAGAATTCCATCCCAGTGGCCAGGACAAAATACATTTTGTCAGCCTTCTTATTTGTCGGTGGGGCCATGGCAGGGGTCTGCCATACGCAGTTGGCGATTTCAAATATGGCCTCGTCCAGAGGAAGAGCGACTTTAGATGAATGGGAGGAAGGATGTAAATTTCTCAACAGACGGTGTTGTTTTTGTTGAACCTCCGTTGGCTTTACATTCTGTGTATCGGCTACCCGGCGGAAGAGGTCTTGGAATTCTTTGAGGTCATCAGATGGTGAAGTATCTCCGATAAGGATGGCATCGTCCGGTGAAGAGGAAGTTACATCCATGGGGGAGGCTTGTTGTGATGCCTCTACTTCTGAAGTTTGTGGTATCTCCACGGTGGGCTGTTCTGCTGGTGCCTGGTCACTGGATGGAGTTGGTGGTCTGAGTAGTGTCAGAGTGGAAGATCTGCTCCTGCAGTGAGTGGCCACTGATGGAGCTGGTGACGGTGAAGAGCAGATAAAGCAGGAATAACTGGCTTGGTGGCCATGGTGCGAACGCCAACAATCGCCATAGCTAGGATGGTATCTGTGCCTGTAGTCATCCCTGTATCTCGAACTCCTCGAGTAAGTGGGAGACCTTGGAGAGCTGGATCTGCAGTGAGAGCAGCAAGGAGATGGTGACCGGTAATAATGGTGGTAGTAGCGTCTTGGTGGAGGGGAGACACTACACTGTGGTCATCTTGAGTCATGTTTGGTTGAAGGTGGAGAAGGAGGTTCGGGGGATAAAGTCGCCAGTTCTGGGATTAGTGGTCCCTGACCGCGCGTGGATGAAGGAGAACATTTCATCAAAGGTGTAGGTGGAGTTGTGCCAGATGTTGAACTCCTCCAGGAGTATGGTGGTATTAGAGAAAAGCGAATCAGCATCAGTTGCTACAGCGCCGTGTGCGTCAGTTCCGACTGTGTCCGTGACCGTGATATCAGCACCGATGCTGATGTTTGATGAGATGGCACAGCTCATTCCGGTGCCGAGGTTATCAGTGCTGGAGAGAGAGGTGCCTGTTGTATCGATGGTGTCTCTGGTGCCAGCATCGGTGCTGAGAGGCTGGGCACCGGAGAAGTGGGTGCCGCATGTGCCAGAGTCGGTGCCAGGAGATTGCATGCCGGAGGAGAAGGCGCCGACCTCGCCAATGTCAGTGCTGGGGGCGGTGCCGGCTTCGGTGCCAACTTGGTTCTTGGTGCCGTATTCACCGCTGAGCTCAGTGCCGATGTACTTTGCATCGGCTTCTCTTTATGCGGCTTTCAGGTTGCCGCTGTTCCAGAAGTGCCCAGTTTATCTACCATGCTCACACTCAGCGCTGGCAAGGAACGAGACGGGGAACGACTCCTTCTGGAGCTTGTTGCTACTGGGGAGAGCCGACGAGCTGTGGCTGGGAGAGATGGCAGTTGAGCTGTGGTTTCCACCCGCAGACGAAGTGCCTTGTCAAATAGAAGCATTTTAAGCCGCATCTCCTGGTCACAGCGTGCCCTTGCTTTCAACTTAGAGCAGAGCTGGCACTTCTGGGGGATGTGTCCCTCCCCAAGATACTTTATACATGAAGTGTGCCCGTCAGACACAGGCATTGAGTCCCAGCATGTTAGGCATTTTTTGAAGCCTGGTGAGCTAGGCATGGTGAAGGAACTTTTCTTTTTTTAAAGACGATAACTGACTGAACTAACTCTAACTACTATAAGAACTACAGAAACTGGCTAATTAACTAACTAATAAGCTATGTACAATACTCTCCTCTCTCAGTCCTGACAGGATTAACATGAGAGAGAGCTGTTTCTCCGTCTGCGCCCGAAGACGGTCAGGAAGAATGGCGAGAGCTGGACTGCGAGACCAGAAACGGTGCAAAAAGCCGCAAGATGGCCATTGCGCATGTGCGGTCCAGTGAACAACAGCTGAAACATCTCCGAACTGCAGCGCCGGGACGAGCCCGACACCCAAAGTGGAGCACCCACGGGGACACTACCCGAAGAAGAACTTTATTTCTTCAGATGCTACCAATATGATACCATTGCCTATTGCATAGATTACTTACATATTATTGTTTTCTGAAAGAAGGATGTGTGTACATTTGTACCTTTGGGTAATTCGCAATGACTTCTGATGCCTTGCAACAGAATTACAGAACATCCCAAATTTAAACGATTCTACAAACCATTTCCTTTGAGGTAGCAGCTATATATCTGAGTGGTACAAAGCAAAATTATAGGCACCATAAAAGGCCTGGAACAAAAACTATCATAAATGTAAAAGGAAAATATAATTTAATGACATATTTTGGTATTTTCATGCTCTATTTATAATTTTGAAACATTTTATATGGCAGAAAATATCTCTATACATGGTCTTACATTCTGAAACCTCTCCTTCTTCATTCTGTAGCTGGACATGAAGAGTGATAGCAGACCCTTGAATTACATCAATAACTTCTGGGCCCAAAATTACTATCTTCTTTGCTTGAGCTGCAACATGAAACATATCTGAATTATTCTCTTATTAGCAGAGAAAATGCTCCCACTCCTCCAAAGAAAGCGAAGTTACTCACCTTGGTGCAGTAACTGTCATTCTTCGAGATGTGTCCCCCCGTGGGTGCTCTACTGTGGGTCCTGGGCTTGCCCCGGTGCCACAGAATGGAGATGTTCAAAGCTGTACTTGACCGGACCGCGCATGCGCGGTAAGGCATCTTGCGGCATTCGCTGTCTCCCGTGCTGCGCGATCTGATCCCAACCAGTTCCTTTGACCCGCCTCAGGATCTGCAATAAAGAGAAACAGACTCCAAGGTGGGGAGTCAGGTGGGTAGTGGAGCACCCACGGGGACACACATCTCGAAGTATGACAGTTACTGCACCAAAGTGAGTAACTTCGCTTTCTTCTTCGAGTGATGTCCCCGTAGGTGCGCCACTGTAGGTGACTGAGTAGCAGTACCCACCCATGGAAAGAAAGGTGGGGATCGGAGGCTACTTATTTATTAATGGAAGAAAGGACAGCATATGCTACGGAGGTAACCGGGAGCCATCTGCATTGAATGGTGTAATGTTTGACAAACGTGTCATGAGAAGCCAAAGTGGCTGCCCTACAAATATCAGAAAGAGGGACACTCTTTAAAAAATCAGTGAGCTCTACGGCGTAGTGAGAGTGGCACATTTCGTGCAGCATAGTGTTTGGTGATGCAGGAAACAATAATGTTGGAAATACACTGTGAAGACCGTCTCCATTGCTGAACGCTCAAAAGGGGAGCCCCTATTAATCTATCCGTCTTCCTAAGAGTCCTAGTGCATTCTATGTAAAAGGGTAGGGCCCTACAGACGTCAAGAGTGTGTGGTATGCAGGTAATCAAGTCGTTGAGACAATGCCCTTTCTGACTTAGAACAACGTTTCCTCAGATCCCATCCCCTTTTACCGCTTCTCTACTTACGCTACATCGTTGACATCTTTATGATCTGGACCCATGGCCAAGAAACACTGGAGACATTCCACAGAGATTTTAACAACCTACACCCCACCATCAATCTCAGCCTGTACCATTCTACACTAGAGATCCATTTCCTGGATACCACAGTACAAATCACCAATGATAAATTAGACACCACTCTCTACAGAAAACCCACTGACTCATACAGTTACCTTCATGCCTCCAGCTCCCATCCAGAACACACCATACGATCCATCGTTGATAGCCAAGCCCTTCGATACAACCACATCTGCTCTAATCCCACTGACAGAGACCAGAAACTTCAGGATCTCTACCAAGCATTTATAAACCTCAATTACCCACCCGGAAAAATAAAAAAACAAATTGAAAGAGCCAGACGAATACCCAGAAACCATCTACTTCAAGACAGACCCAAGAAAGCCAACAATAGAACACCACTTGTCATCAGCTATAGCCCCCAACTTAAACCCGTCCAACACATTAGCAATAAACTACAACCTATACTGGAACAGGATACTACACTCCGAGAGGCTCTGGGAGACAGACCCAAGTCTCCTACAGACAACCACCTAACCTCAAGATGATTCTTACCAACTATCACACTAATACCAACCCTGGAACTTTTCCTTGCAACAAACCCCGTTGCCAGCTTTGTCCACATATTTACTCTGCTGACACCATTATTGGATCTAACCAATTCAGTTATAAGATCAAGAACACATATTCCTGCTCATCCAGAAATATAATTTATGTCACCATGTGCCGAAAGTGTCCGTCTGCTATGTACATTGGACAAATGTCTCAGACGCTTCGCCAAAGAATCAATGCACACAAAACGGATATCAGACAGTATCACAAAGAAAAAACAGTTTCTTGCCATTTCAACCAGAAAGGGCATTGTCTCAACGACTTGATTACCTGCATACTACTTCAAAGGCATTTTAACACCAGACTTGAAAGAGAAACCTCTGAACTGTCATTCATGCTTAAATTTGACACTTTACGCTGGGGTCTTAATAAAGACGCTAATTATCTTACCCATTACAAAAATAGCTTCCCCAATTATCACCTCTAATATCATTAGCTCACAGACATTTACCTCCCCCCATCATGCACCCTCTGTTCTGAAATTTGATTTGTCCTTTTTATGTGTGTTCACTTTTTTTGATTGTATCCCTTTGGTATATATGGTCGGGCCAATTCTCTTCCAGAATTTGATCTGAGGAAGTGGGTCTGGCCCATGGAAGCTCATCACCTAATAAACCATCTTGTTAGTCTTTAAAGTGCTACATAGTCCTGTTTTTTTGTTTCAGCTGGACTAGACTAATACAGGTACATCTCTATTACTATTCTACATGCAAGAGTCTGTAAGAGTGTCTCATGTGGTGATGCATGAGGTTTGAGGAAAAAAAACAGGTAGCACTACTGGTTCATTAAGGTTGAATTCTGAGGACCCCTTAGGGATGAATGCCAGGTGATGTTGGAGGATCACACTGTCTCTTTTGAAGGTGGTATACGGAGGTACTGCCATCAGAGCTGAAATCTCACTCGTTCGTCATGTGGAAGTTATGGCTATGAGGAAGACCAACTTCATTGTAAGAGTCTGGAGAGGAATCGTAGCTTGGGGCTCAAAGGGCGGTGCTGTAAGAGCCCAAAGGACCAAGTCTAGGCTCCAAAAGGGAGGGGCAGCCCGTGTGGGTGGATCTATGTTCATTAGGCCCTTAAGAAATCTCTTACTGAGAGGATGGGCAAACACCGAAGCACCGTCAATCGGGTGTCGAAAAGCTGTGAGTGCCACGAGATGAACTCTAAGAGATGCCAAGGTTAGTCCATTCTGTTTTAGGTGCATTATATAGTCCAGGATGACATGGATGGGGGCTGCATGAGGATCTATACGTTGCTGAGAACACCAAGAAGTAAATCGTGTCCACTTTGCAAGGTAAGTAGATCACATGTTGTGCTTTCTGCTATGAAGGAGAATGTTCTTTACTTAGAGCAAAGAGTCTCAGATTCATTTAGCCAACTAAGTACCATGCTGCAAGGTGCAGGGAGTGTAACTGCGGATACAGGAGAGAGCCCCGCTTCTGAGCGAGGAGGTGCAGGATTAACGGGAGATGGTACGGAGGGTATCGCACTAGTTGGAGGAGGAGTGGATACCAATGTTGGCGTGCCCACGCGGGGATATTAATATCATGGTTGCTTTGTCCATTTTTTTTGGAGGACTTTAGAGACAAGAGGCGTAGGTGGAAAAGCGTACATGAGGGGAACCCCCCCCCCCAGTAGTGTAGGAAGACATCCCCCAGAGAATTGGGGCCGAGACCGACTCTGGAGCAATAACAGTGACACTTTTTGTTGGTATTCGTGGCGAATAAGTCCACTTGACGGGTGCCCCATCGCCGAAATATGGAATGAAGGACTCCGTGGTGAATTTCCCATTCGTGGTCTGTTAGTAGGATGCCACAAGGGCTATGCCATTGGCAATGCACCAATTCCATAATCGGATTGACTCTGCGCAGAGCGATTGGGATCGTGCACTGCCTTGATGATTTATGTAGTACATGGTTGCTATGTTGTCTGTGAAGATAGTGACCGTAGAATTGAGGAGGTGTACGTGAAAATGTCTGCAGGCATTGGTGACCACTCTGACCTCTAGAAGATTTATGTGTAGCAGAGACTCCTGTGGAGACCTGCAGCCTTGAAAGGAAAGATTGCCCATATGGGCCCTCCAGCCGATAAGAGACGCATCTGTAGTTATGTGGTATCGAGGTGGGGGCTGTCTAAACGGGGTACCAGAGAGCTAGCTGTTGTCCCTGGTCCACCAGTGGAGGGATGCTTTGATTGTTTCGGGAATAGTCATTGTTCGGTGCATATTGTGCCTTGTCGGATTGTAGATCTTTAGGAGCCAACGCTGTAGTGGTTGGAAGTGTAATCTGGCATAGGGTACAACTTATGTTGTTGAGGCCATATGGCCCATCAGCTTGAGCACTGTTATAACCTGGACGGATCATTTGTTTGTAGAGGAGCTCATCCAGCAGTGCTTATATTGCCTGAAATCTGTCAGTAGGCAGGTAAACTCTTGTTGAAATGGAGTCCAGACGAGACCCTATGAATTCTATATTTTGGGTTGGTCGAAGAATGGATTTGTCATTGTTGATAAGGAAGCCTAAGAGAAGGAAGGTTTTGATTGTAACTCGCAGCATTTCTCATCCGTCAATGAGCATGCTTTGAGGAGGCAATCATCTAGGTAAGGGTATATTATTACCCCTTTGCGTCAAAGATGCACAGCAACAACTGCTTATGTCTTTGTGAAGACCCTGGGTGCGGAAGCAAGGCCAAAGGGCAAGACTCGGTACTGAAAGTGGTCTGTATCAACTGTGAATCATAGAAATCTCCTGTGGGTGGGATGAATTGTTACGTGAAAATAAGCGTCTCTGAAGTCGAGAGCGGCAAACCAATCGCCCCACTCCAATGTGGGAAGAATGGAGGCCACGGTCACCATCTTGAAGTGCTGTTTGCGGAGGTGTTTGTTTAGCTGTCAGAGGTCCAATATAGGTCTCTATTCACTGGTTTTCTTTTGAACTAGAAAGTAGTGGGAGTTGAATCCTCTCCCTTGGAATTCAGGAGGAACCTTTTCTATGGCACCGATATGAAGCAGGTGAGTAATTTCGGTGCGTAATAAGCCCTCGTGAGATGGGTCCCTGAAAAAGGACAGGGATGGTGGGTTTGTGGGAGGGAGAGATAAGAATGGGATGGCGTACCCTGACCAAATTATTTCGGGAACCCATCTGTTGGTGGTAATGTTGAGCCATTGATGGTAGAAAGGCCTCAGCCGGTGGTGAAACATATGGAGGTCTGATGGGGTTGCCTGCCTGCTCTCAAGCAACACCTCAAACGTGCTGCTTGTTGCTCAATTGAGTTTGCACACGGTTGGCCAGATTCCTATGTCTCAGAGGTCTCTGTTGGTGTGGGTGGCGTGGTTAATCGAATTGTTGTGGCTGATGCTGCCACTGCTGTCTGGTGTGAAAATAA